GATCTGAAAATTTAGGGTAATATTCGTCTAGTTACAAGGGGTTACAGGACCAATTTTGAGCATTTTTGGATTTGTAATAATAGAGAGCGAGCAATTTTTCTATGAGCGACCAAGACTTTTGGCTCACCCTTTAGTTTACTACAATGCATTGACATAATTCTCATTTTTGAACATGCTCAGGAACTTCACGACATCGCCGGCACAACGAGAACAAGAACAGAACACCGTGCAAATGGGGCTTGAAGTGTCGTGATATCAAAGACAGACAACATCGCAAACAATATTCTCATCGTCGTTCGGATCACAAGGACAACGATGAAGAATGGAGTGATCATCATACATCATGCAAGTGGGCTTCAGAATGTACTGATCAAAGCGATTACCATCGAAAAAAATATTCTCATCCTCCACATAGTAAGGAAGATGATCACAAACATGATGATCGCACTTCATGCAAGTGGGGTTTAGAGTGTACCAATCAAAGTGATGGCCATCGAAAAAAATATTCGCATCCTCGACATGATAAGGAAGCCGATCGCAAACATGATGGTCGCACTCCATGCAAATGGGGGTCAGGATGTACCAATCACAATAATGATCATCGAAAAAAATATTCGCACCCGAAAGAGTTGTCTGCATCAAGTCATGAAGATTGACAGAAGAATTGAACGGTAATTCACCATAGAAAACTACTAGTATTCGTTTGATATTATTTGTAACAAGAATAAACTAGAACATCATTAAAAAGAAATTATTTCATGGAGCGTAGTTGATTGTGGTTCATCAGAGAAATAAGGGTGGGTGTGGGTGTGGGTTTAGTTCTTCTCTTTACTCACACCCCCCACCCACACCCCCTCATTAACTATAACTATAAAAACATTTTGTCTGTATTTTATACTCTATGGTGAGTGTTGATGCTCTCTCGTGCCACTTATTGTTAAAATCTTTTAACTGATTAGGTTAGAATTGCACTTCGCGTATTCTTAATTTCATAGCATTATTATACAGTGTGGGCAGATCGCAATAAGTATG